TCTCTCTCTCTCTCTCTCTCTCTCTCTCTCTCTCTCTCTCTCTCTCTGATATCCAAAGTCATGAACTTTTTCCTTGACTTTATTGTAACTTGTTCTCAATTTCTTACACATCACTTACTTGTCGGCTTACACTGAAGGTGGTCTTTATAAAAGAAAAAAAAAAAAACAAAGCAAAATGCTGAGCATTCTATGTTACGGTCTTCTAAATCATCTTACGTTATTACAAGAAAAGAAACGTAATTTTTAAGCTGTATTGGATGAATAAAAGAAAAATTCTTACTTGTTACGGTTTTCTTTAAAAATGTTAAAATATACAAAATATTTCTATGATAAATTTATAAGAATCAATCAATCAATGTTAACTTACTCTATTGCATGACAGAAGAGAGATCAACGAGCCTCTCCGAACTATATGAATAACTATTATAGTTTGCCTCCGACACCAGCGGTATTAAACGTCTTTCGCTATATATCACTAATACGATGTGTTTGTCGATGAGGTCTCAAATGTACTCTGTACTCGTAATACGAAAAAGCGTATCCTTTTAATTGCTTTCGATTCTTTATTTTTCCCTCTTTTCCTTTCTTTTAGATATGGTTAGACGGCATACGTAAAATAACCCATAATGTTAAGGCCAATAACATATGTCCTATGATGTGTTTGAAGAAACAGTAAGTTTAGCGTCATTCTCTTTTACTCTCCTCACTCTATTTGTCATTATCTTGCTGTCTTTTCCTTTATTATTGCACAAACTTACAACAATAACTACAAATGGTTGTGAACTTCTCGTTCATCCATAAATTAAAGATTAGAAATTTCGTTCTTTGATTTTCCTTTTTTTTTGCGTTACAATTCTTCTTGTCCTGATTGTGTTTGTTGTGTGTTATGTAAAAAATTCCAAGTTCCGTTGGAGAGGTGTCTGCATGAGACCAGCTATTACTCTTATTATTAGAAGGCAAACACTAATACATTTTTTTTACTCACCACTACTACTTATTTTGCATTCTTCGAGGCCTATTTCCTTTCTTTCGACACACACACACACACACACACACACATGTATACATCTACAATTTCTTGCTTCGTTTTCTCACAAGCTTCCTATGCAAAGATTCAGGCAACTTCATGCATGTTTAGTAAACATTAGTAAAAGGTGTCTTTTTTATGGTTTCCATTTGTGCATATATGGATTTATATACGTATTTGTATGTCCGATTGCGTGTACGATCTAAAGTTAAGTGCTGCCATATTGTTAACAATTTCGATTATTTTACTCTAACTAATTATAATTGAATTATGCAACAATTAAATGCATGTAATTTTAACGCATTTGAAAAATTTATTTATTAATTTTTTTTTTTTTTTTTTTTTTTTTAAATATGTATATGTATGTATGTATATATATATGTATATAAATTAGCTTTCTCTTTTCTTATTAATTTTGTTTTGCATGTCTCTGTTCTGTCTTCAATTAACCAATAAACTGTCACTAATTTCTTTAACACGAAAATATTCAAATGCTCAAAAAAATATGCATATATGAATATGAAAATGTAACGACAGCGGTGGCAAGAGGGATTACGTAAAATTACTCACAATAATAAAGCAACTAATGTTTGTCCCACAACCAATCTAATGAAACAGTAAGTAAACATCTAAATTGACATTTTTCTGCTCTCTCTCTCTCTCTCTCTCTCTCTCTCTCCCTTTCTATGTGCGTGTACTAATGCATTGCAATCATCCAGAGTAATGCTACTATTTTCAATAGCAAGAAATATTTTCAACTTACTTCAGGACATATCTTTATCTCATTTTTTATTTATTTACCTACAATGTAGGCGTCATCATTACTTGGCATTTTATGATTTTTTATTTTTTCATTTATTTATTTATTTTTTATTTTGTTTTTTCTATAAATAAAACCCTTTTTTCTTCTACATACCCCAGCAAAAAAAGTGTCTTATATTGACGTGCGTGCTCCCCGTTCCTTGTGTTTATCTTTAAAAGTCATTTTCATGTAATAAAATGCTAAAAATTTCTTCCAACTCCGCATTTCTATCGTATCAATCTTATCTTGTGTTGGCCAAACACCTTTATTTACTGCCAATAGAGAGGGGGTATCATTATTTATAGTAGTGCACAGACATACATTTGCTCAAGTGCTTCGTTTGTTTAAAGCAGTAAAATACATAAAAGAATATAAAATAAAAATATACGTAAATAAAAGAAAAAAAAAGAAGTAAAAAATAAAAAAAAAAAAAGTAAATTTACTTCTGGAATCTTCCCTATGTCGTTCTTTCCTGCACGTACGTTGTCCTTGTTTTGTGTGTTCGCTTCTTGTTCTTCTTCTTATTTTTGTTCCTGTTCTCGTTTTTGTTCTTGTTCTCATTCTTGTGTATTTTTCTTTTCGCAATTGTAAACATTTTATTGTATAATATTTTGTTCAGCTTCTTAACATAATAAATCCTTGTTAATGTTCTCTATAACTGATAGAAGTAAATAAATATAAATAGAAAGAAATTACTTAAATGTAAATTGAAGAGCCTTCTACTTTAAATTTGTGAACCCTAATACACTTCACAATTCTTAAAGTTATACCTATTTGGGCAACTTAATGAATGATGCATCTCTTCATCTATGTGACGTATAATTGATTCATATTATTCTGTGCATAAGTTTAATGCGGCTCTTTCATTATCTTCGCTTTCCAAGATCTCAATATATGGAAAAATGCTTAAAAACGAGAAAAATTATTTATTAGTGTAGCGTTAATTCGAATCATGTTTGACAAGTTTGACAAAGCAAAATGAAATGGAGTTCATGACCTAGCAGTGTTACGTTCCTTATACACAAAAACGCACTTACACAATTTTCTACGAAGCATCTTTTCATTGCTTTCTAAATGAGCGGAGATTGCATTCGTGACGTGCCAACGTGACGTGAAATTAGGCAAACATCGGTGTAAAAACAATCGCCCACGGCCATGGCATTCACACAATCTTAGTCCGAGGTATGCTAGTGTACCAAATTCAATTTTGCGGAAAGATAAAAAAAATGACTTTAAATCATCTCCGAAAATCATATTAAATGCTTCCGTGCATCGTGGACACTTCTTGCTTATTGAGGAAAATTGATATAATATTTATTAATGAAAATAGTTTCCATCATTTGTGCAACTCCTTCCCACCTTCCTGGCCAGCGTGTTGAAAGAACGATGCCGATTTGGCCGTCGATCCACTTTCGCACTCTTTCAGCGTTTCGAAACCGTGTGCCGGTCAAGCCATGCTGCATCGATCTAAACAAGTGGTATTCAGAAGGTGTCATGCTTGGTGAGTACACTGGACGCGGCAGATCTGCAACAGTGTATCCGTGCGACGTGTGGCCAACGTGTGGCCATGTAACAGGACGACTTTGTGTCTGTTAACCGCTACCGCTAGTCTCTCTTGCAACAGTGCATTGTTAAATTTATTCAACTTACGTCGGCAACAGTCATCTGCAGTAACAGTTTCTACCCGTCTTAGCACCGCCTTATATACTAGGCCATCATATGCACAGCAAAACTTTATGCTCATGAGTATTCCGCTTCAATGTCAATGTAAGCGGCTCTCCCAAACTAACCCATGACTTTTGGCGCTTGCGATTGTCGTAGTAGATTCATTGTTCATTGTCAGTCACAATA